ATAGTGTCTGGAGGACACTCTTTTGTTTCAAAAACTTCCCTACCTTAGTTGTCTTCCAATCCCAGACGGTCCAGAAAATCGTATCCGTTCTAGAAAGCTGAAACTTTCCAAGGAGGTGCTTCAATCTGGGCATCATGAGGACTTCTTCGTGCACGGTCACTGTTTCACTTCCCCTCATGTCGAGTGTCTCTAGCCATGCCAGCTTCCCTATTTCACTTGGAAGCCGATCAGTACCACCCTGGAAGCTCAGATATTTCAGCAGCAGCAGCTTGCATATAGCTAAGAGATGTCCTTTAGACAGAGGAGCGCATTGTTTCAGATCCAGCACCCGCAGCACCTCGTAGTTGCCAAACTCCAACATGGCTCCATAGATGTCAGGATTGGCACTGGCATGGAATACCGCCAGGGTATGGAGATGAGGAAAATCAGGCAAATTCATATCATCTAGTGCCTTTTCGTTGGGATGGAGTGAAAGCCTGCGGGCACTCTCTGCCTCAAGTTTGGCCATGTCATCACAAAACAGCATGAAATTTGTGGCGCTAGACTGTTGGTAGATGAATCTGAGAATCTCATCAGGAGGTTGGCATCTCTTCATCATTCCATTGTTGCTTTTCGCAGTGGTATTGATGATTTTGCCATCGATGAAGGCCTTCAGATATTTGACTGCGTCATCTTCGCCTCTCACAAGTCCTTCAGCAAGCCATTTTCTTATCAGGGGATTCCTCCTGACATGATGATCATGTGGAAACATGCAGAAATATAGCAAACAGTTGAGGTTATTAAGCCAATCTTCACCCTGTTTACCGACAAGCTCCTGAAGCTCATTGGGGACAAGGACCTCAAAAGCAGCAGCCGGAGCAATGACTTGTTGCCCTTGGTCTTGTGCTGAGGAGGTCACTGCCAATTTTTGCAAGCCTCTATGTATCTGGATATAGTCTAATAACCGCTGGCGTGTTTCCTCAGATTTCGTCTTGAGTCGAGCGATCTCTTCCGCGAACTCTTCAGGGTTCGTCTTCTTGACTTCGAAGCAGTCTATGCAGTCTTCGATCTCGTAAGCCAATCGCCTCAGTTGTGCAATCCATTCATTGCTGACAACGGGGGTATTATGTCTGGTTATATCTTTGATCAACCGAAGCTCATCATTGATGAAGGTAGCATCAATCTTGGTCTTCCCTACTAATTTAGCTATCACCCTACCAAGCTTCGGCACGGCGCTGCTCACTGCGCTGCCCACTGCCGCGCTGAGTATGGGCACAGCAAATTCCATTTTTCTTTCCTTGGATCGATAGATCTGCGCGAGTGCCGAATTAAAGTGAGCTTTATGTGGACGGAAATGAATTGAAAGAGCAGATCTGGTACCTAGCTAGCTCGGCTCCTAGGGTGTCGTTCTTCCTTGACGCGGACGAGGGACGACTTCTGGTGTGGTTGGTGTGTTTCCTCTCTTTTTCTTTTGCCCGCCATGAGCAGCGTCACACATGGCCGACAAGTCTCTTTTCAGCAATAATAATCTTTGCCCAGAAAATAAAAAAGTCACCACTAAAATTTAGTCCCTGTCACATCGTCAGATGCTAATTAGAAGGAATAAATATTAACTAATTACAAAACTAATTGTACAGATGAAGACTAATTTGCGAGATAAATCTATTAAGCCTAATTAATCCTTCATTAGCAAATGTTTACTGTAGCACCATATTATCGAATCATGGACTAATTAGCAATGTTTTCAAGTCGTCCAATTAATCGCGATTAATCGTCCTAGTGTTCGATTAGGAGGTCCGACTCGATTAGCTCGACCAGAAAGTTGGTCGTCCGATTAGTCGACGAGAAATCGGATTAGTCGTCCGACTAGGACATGGACGATCAGTTTGGTTACTCTGTTTTTTGCCTGTTTAACTGGGCGGACATGTGGGCTACTGGGCTTGCAGTTTAGCTTGTTAGGGTTAGAATGTTTAGAAAAAGGATTGTTAGCCTTTGTTGCGCTGCATCTGGATGCGAGCGTAGTTGGAGTTAATTTTCTGTTGTAAGTGCTAGTGTACTACTGCTGAGTAATTAAGTATGGTAGTAATATTGATATGTGATTTTACATTATATTTTGTGTAGGTCCATACAAAAAAGAGAAACCGATTAGAGCACCAAAGGTTAAATAAGTTGGTATATGTTAGTAACAACCGCAAGATGGAAAACAGATTTTAAGAAATTAGAGAGCTGAGTTCCAAAGGAAAGAGATGCAATCCACTCTTGCTCGATGAATTTCATTGGGAAAATGAATGGGGTTTGGGACAGGAATATGGACCTCTGGACATGGCAGAAAAGAGAAAAAAACAACTCCCACAAGTAAGTCACCAGCTAAACACTAATGTAGTCTTGATGCTTGCTTTATTATGTATACTATATAGTATATATAGGTGTATATATATAGTAGGTATAAATGTCCTGATATATAGGACGATCAGGGGTCGACTAGGCTCGACTAATTCGGCCTGGTCAACGACTAATTACGATTAGTCTCCTGGTCGGTCCAATGACGACTAGATTCGACTGGACAACTTGAAAACATTGCTAATTAGGCTTAATAGATTGGGAATTTAGTATTTTTGTCCTTATTCTAGACTGTAATGGTGATTTTGCTCCTACTCTTTAAACTGTGATTTTGCCCTCGCGATTTTGAAACCAAGCGTCCGTCTGCCCCTGTTTCCTGACACTGTTAAATCTGAGGGCTAGGGTTAGGACCGGCGAGCAGGAGGCGGCTGCGGCAGCGTATGGGTGGCCCCTGGTGGGTGCACGGCAGTGGAGGTGGCGCGTGGGAGGCAGCGGCGGCGGCGGTGGCGTGTGGGCGCCCTTCGGCGTCCATGGGAGACCCTCGGCGGGTACGCAGCAGCACGCCAGCACGTGGGAGGCCCCCCCAGCCTGCGCGAGCACCACACGGGCGGACCCGGCGGGCGCACAACAGCCCGGCGGCGCACGGGAAACGGCTCCAGCGGCCGACAACGGCGTGCGCGTGATGGCCCCCGATGGGTGCGCAGCAGCATGCGGCAGCGGCGGTGCGCGGGCCTGCGCATGAGCGGCACGCGGAAGTTCCCTCCAAGCTGTTGCTGATATATTTTTTTAAACTTTTTCTTCCATTTTGGAGCCGCATATTGCGAAAACAGAAACATTCATCCATGTGATGTTAATTTGTGTTTATATGGACTTATAACTGAAATGCCGTTGAAAATTTTCTAAAATTTAACTGATTTTGCCCCGGTTGAATTAAAATAGCCAAACTGTTTGATCTGAAAATAGAGATAAAAACACAACCCCGTTCGGCTATACTACTTCTAGCTTGTTTCAGCTTATTCTCTCTCACAAAACACTATTGAATCATCCGAAATAATCCAAAATCTATTGTACTACCTACCAGCCGAACGCTTCAGCCAAAAGTTGTCCCTTTATCCAAAAGTTAACACCGTTAGAGAGACTTCACAGAACAGGGGTAAAATCTCTTTTTGTTTTGAAATTGTAGAGTAAAATCATAAAGTTAAAAAAATTGGGCAAAATCTCCATTTCGCTTCAAAACAAGGGGTAAAAACACTTAAGCCTCTAATAGATTCGCAACTTAGTCTCCATATGTGCAGTTAGTTTTATAATTAATTTATATTTAATAGTTCAAATTAGTATTTAAATATCCGATCCGATATGGCAGAGACTAAACTTTAGCCAGGTATCAATCACCCCTTTGAAGACGTAGTGCCTCGCCTCTCTTTCTTCAGGCCTTGTTTAGTTCTAGAGCGTAAAGTTTTGGGGGTGTCACATCGGGTGTTACATAGGGGTGTCATATAGGGTGTTCGGATACTATAAAAAAACAAATTACAGAATCCGTCGGTAAACCACGAGACGAATTTATTAAGCCTAATTAATCCGTTATTACCAAATGTGTTACTGTAGCACTTTATTGTCAAATCATGTACTAATTAGGCTTAAAAGATTCGTCTCGCAAAGTAGTCGCAATCTGTATAATTAGTTATTTTTTTAGTCTATATTTAGGTCCAATTATTCGATGATATAGGGTGTAAACTTCTAGAGAGGAACTATACAAGGCCTCACTTTGAGATGCACGAATATTCCTCGAATATACCATAGTGTTGACCCGATGCCTACGAGATCCCGTCTCCATCCTCCCTGCCTGGCTGCCTTCATAGTTCAGGATTTAATTTGCTACCATCTGAAACTCGGCTTCATTGCAAAGCAGGACTTTCGACTTCTACACGTAAGTGACATTTTCTCCTCCAAATGTTTTTCACCAGGGAGCTATAGAGGCTATTTAGTTGCATCGAGGTGGGGAAGCCACTCGATCCAAACATTGAAGGCTCGTTTGAAGGGATTTCCACTAATTCTGATACTGCAAGCACTAGTACTATAGCGGAGGTAGCGAAGCCTTAAATTCGTGGCTTTAGCAGCTTCTCCTCCCTCTCCGTTGTTTTAATTTGTGCGAGAGACAGATGTCTTTTTTTTTCTTTTGTCCCAGCGTTGACGCCAATTTAAGAATCTACTACTTATGTGTTTAGGATGCTTTCAAGCATTCAGCCGGCTGATAGTTTCATTACCGCGGCTCTATTTCAGTATTTCTACCGTCCATATGCTGCTGAACTACTTGTTATATTCGCATATGCTGTCTAATGCGTACAGAGTCTAGTAGCGGACAACAGATCTGTTGTGAACTACTTGTTATATTGGCAGGCAGGCAGAGGAGAACACACCCACGGCCATTTCCGCCCCCGCAGCTCGGACTGTCGGACATAGCCAAGGCCCAAGGCACAGCCGGCTGCTCTCGGTCTCGCTTCCGCGCGCTAGCTAGGAGCCTAGGAGGAGGACTCGAGGAGGATCGGTTTCGCTATGGGCAACAAGGTAAACCAATCGCCTCAGAATTCTCGCTCGATTCGCACCGATTTTGGTGTTTCCATGTCCGTGTGTATGGCCCGGGGTTTTAACGGGGTTCATCGCCGCTCGTCGTGGCGCAGAAGATGGTGCTGAAGCTGGACCTGCACGACAACAAGGACAAGCGGAAGGTGTTCGAGGCGGTCTCCACTCTCGACGGTACTTCACTCCTCCCCTCTCCTCTGCTTCCCTTCTCCGTCATCGAGGCCAGCAAAGCATCCGTGTCCTGCAGAGCTGCGACCTGGAGCGGGGCAGGCTTTCAAATTCGTAACGAGTGAGTCCATGTCCGAATTCTGATCTCTGATGACGACGGCAACCACACACGCGCAGGTATTGACTCCATCTCCGTGGACAAGGATTCCAAGATGACAGTGATAGGGCTGGTCGACCCCGTCGACGTCGTGGCCAGTCTGCGCAAGGTCTGCTCCGCCGCCATCGTCTCCGTCGGGCCAGCCAAGGAGGAGAAGAAGGACGCCGAGAAGGAGGGCGACAAGAAGAAGGACTCTTCAATTCAAATCTACAATGTGAGTATTAAACGTGAATCTATCATCCCCTGTTTCCATGAATCTCAGAGTATTGGCAAAACTCATTATATATGGTTCTCACTGGAAATGCAGTAATGTACCCATTGTAAAATAATGTGCTCTCGTTTCAGACTATATATCCCCTCATGTTTTACTTATGTATTAGGATTATGAGAATGTAAATGTTGTTTTACATATGATCTTTTTGACATAACAAATTATGTACTTTTTGCGGGCTTTGAGCAGATACCACAAGGTACACATATTACATAGCAACTTTGTGGTAGCTCCCGTCAACAATATGAAGAGTAGTAAGTACCTCGTGGTATATGACCCAAAAAACCTTCATAAACCATACATATGTTGTTAGCTTGACATTTAAAGACCGGAGAACTCTTAATGATAATGGATTCTTCCTATGCGTGGAACACTATGCTTAATGTTACTAATTACCATTTAGTTTATATTTAACATTGAGGTGCCAAAATATTGGCTTATCTTAATCGAATTGCACAGGTTGAAACTGAGCTCACGGGTCATCATAAAAAGATAACTGGACTAGCATTTTCGCAATCAATGGAGGTGCTTGTATCTTCAGGTGTTGATGCTCAGGTGTGAATTCTAATATATATCAAAATTAGGACTAGCGATTATGTTTTTGCTTATAAATTTAAGGGATGCTGAATTAAATACAGTCAAATGTTATGTGTCGGTGTTTTGTGAACCGACCAATAAATTTAGTGCCGTGTAGCTCTAGGAATCGATGGAAGCACTCAAGACATGGGGAGATTATACTGTTTCAGGCCGAAGCCCTACGGTCTCAGAGGGGTTCGTGTTCGTGTTTCTCGGTTCTAAGTGCTCAGTTGACTTACAATGGGGTGCTCGTAAGCGTGGGTTCAGAAGTGAGAGGACTCAAGAGAATAGATCGATCACTCCAGAGCCATAGAGAGTGTTTCCTTTTTTCCGTCCGCTAGAATGAAGGCACGGTTTCCTTATGCTTCCGGGGGCCGAGTGACAATTGAAAGGAAAGGGTTCCCATGACCCGAGTGGTCGAGAGCTCGAGGGGAGGGCGGCGGTAGGCGAGCCCGGTCCGTGGGCCCTCTGCATCTTGTCCCAGCTTCTGTTGCATGCTCGGATGTCGTCACGGGTTCCTGTTCTCCACGTCGAGGTATGGTGCGCCATAGCGGCATAGTGCGGGTCGTGGCTGATATGGTGCGGGTCGTGGATGAAGTCAGGGAGGCATCCTATGGAAAACATCAATTATCGAGTGAAGAAAAATTTGTCACTGTATTGAATGGTGGTGAGCGACAGAAACTTTAGGGGAGCATTTCTCGCAGGTTAGCCCTACAGTGTGTTGAAGAGCACAACGTTGGCCAGCTGGCTAACATAGCTGTGGAGAGAGTGAGATCCATCTTTGCCAGTCGGTGCAATTTTGGTGCATTATGTCCACGCCTCCCATATTTACATGTAGTAGAAATGGTAGAATGTCGTGTTTCCAACAAAGACTGCATGAAAGCTGTGTCGGAGAATCATCTTGGGAGTTTACTTCACTTGAGGTACCTCAGAGTAGAGAATATCAAAAAGCCGCCCGAGGTTGGGTATTTGAGGTTTCTGCAAACACTGGATATACGGAACAGCTGGATGAAGGAGCTGCCCGAGGAGGTGGGACTTCTGACGCAACTTGTTTGCCTATGATGTAGTTACCAGACAAGAGTGCCGGCTGGTTTGATCGGTAAGCTCACGTCACTGCAAGAGCTACGTATATCGTGTGGAGGTGAAGATGCTATAATAATGCAGTTTGTGAAGGAGCTGGGCCTGCTGAAGGAACTGAGGGTGCTCAAGACTAGGATTTCTGTTAGGAGTGAGAGCATCGAGAGTGCTTTGCTGGAGTCCCTTAGTTGTCTGCACAATATCCAGGAACTTGAAATTTTGGAATACTTCTCTCCAAATAAGGGCTGGGTGAGCAGCGATGCAGGACGGGTCTCCTGTCGGCATCTCCGTGTCCTGCGTTTTCACTGCTTTGTGTTTTCTGGACTGCCAGTGTGGATTAACTCGTCGCTTGCTCCAAACCTATGCTATCTGGATCTGCTAGTGGTAGCTGTGGAAGACCAGGACATGGAAACCCTTGCCAAGTTGCCAGAGCTCAGTTGCCTCATACTGCGTTCAGAAAGTGACACCAAGTCAGTAGTTAGCATAAAGATTCGTACTGATGAAGGTGTTGGCTACTTCCGCAAGTTGAGATTCTTAAAGATACTCGGTTCATTTATCAGGTTTGATGTGCGCGGCAGCGAGTGCAACAGCAGCAGGGTACCATCTAATAATACTATCATGCCAGGTCTTGAATCCCTTGAGTTTCGTGTTCATGTGCGGTCCCTAAAAGACGAGAAGCTGCAGCTTGGTTTTGACAAGATGCTTGGCTTCCAGAACCTCGGAACAAATTCGCTCCAGCGAGTCAAAGCCGAAGTGAACTGTGAAGGTGCCAGTATTTGGAATGTGGTGGAAGCAGAGGCTGCATTGGAGCACGCGGCCGCAGTCCATCCAAAACATCCCACCCTTCTAACCAAGAGGGTAGAAACACAATATATGATCGAGATCTCACGCTACCAAGAGGTATGATGAACTGATCATGTACGATCATCTTACTACTTACTACTTGGAGTAAGAAGTTCGTATTCATCTTTTGGTTTGATTCTTTAAGTTAAGTTATCATTGTTACTACTTACTTGCGGGATCATCATCTGTCCTCGTGACGGGTGCTTTAGTAGAGGACTCCTGATAAAGACGGAAGCTCTTGGCCAACGCTAGAGTAGTAACGGTTAGTGTAGACGTGGTGTTTAAGCTACATGTTACTTTCGTTTGCTCCGTATCCCATGGTAGTGGGGTAGGCAGCAGGTGTTGATAGCCCTGTCCGTCCTTAGTACCCCCCACGTTCGGATACGGCGTAGAGCCGTAGGCCGGCAACTCCTGGCAGACCAGGGTTCACCGGTGCCCGAAGTAAGTCAGTAGTAGCAAAGTTATCTTAGCTTAAGGCGTCTACCTTTAGAAGAACCTCGCTACCCAAGTTTCCCTTAGCTTGTTCTCCAAGGTAAACTAGCGAAGAGACGGCTTACAAAAACCGTTCCTTTGAGAAAATACGATACCCTAAATACTTTTAGGTGAAGTGCTACAACGGTACTTCCGTGCGCTTGCGGACTTTTCTGCTTACACTAAGAAGCATCAACAGTATGAACCTAAAAACACTTAATCAAACAGAATAAAACCAAACAGCGACGATACCTATCTCATCGGCTGCTCAGCAACTAAGGGCGATGTATACATCGGCCATTTTTGTTCTAAGGGCGATACATGTATCGGCTATTGTTTGGAGAGCACTTAGTGTTCCTGCCAAACACTTGAAAAGTACCTTTTTAAATACCTCCAGTTGATTGCTCTTGTGAGACGTTCACCTTACGATGTCGTTAGCAGATAAGAATTTCCGAATATGACTTTGATCACTTTGTAACGACCCTCCCAATTTGGTGACCACATGCCAAACTGATTGCTCTTCGATCCAATCGGAAGTATGGTTTTCTACACTAATTCTCCCACTTGGAAGGATTTGCTCTTGACTTTCTTGTTGTATGCCTTAGCAACTCGAGCCTTGTCTTTCTCTATTTCTTTGATAGCTTTTAATCTTGTATCAGTCACCTCATCGATATTATCCATCATCAAATCATGATACATATCAGCAGATAAATCATTTTGTTTAGCAAGTCTATATGTATCCAAATTTACTTTGATGGGTAACATGGCCTCTTGACCATGTACCAACTCGAAAGGAGTAATTTTTGCAGCACCATGCCTTGAAATGTGATGTGTCCATTGAGCTTCAGACAAAACTTCATGCTACCTCTTTGGATTTTCCTCAATATTCTTTTTGATAAGCTTGATCAAAGTCTCATTATTAGATTCAGCCTGGCCATTAGCTTGAGTATAGTATGGAGATGAATTGAGCAACTTAATCTTATATAATTCGGCAAATTCCCTCACCTCCTTAAACACAAATTATATCTCTTGATATGTAGTTAATGTTTGAGTGATGCCGAATTTATGGATAATATGCTCAATGATGAACTCAATTACCACCTTATGTGTCATATTCTTCAAAGGAACTGCCTCGGTCCACTTAGTAAAGTAATCCATAGCAACCAACATAAATTGGTGTCCCATTGAAGATGGGGGATGAATTTGGCCAATGAAGTTTAACCCCCAACCATGGAAAGGCCATGGTTTGATGATAGGATAAAGCATAGCAGCAGGCACAAGCTAAATATTTTCAAACTTCTAGCACTCTTCATATCCTTTGTAGTAACAAAAGCAATCAGCCATCATAGTAGACCAATAAAACCGGTTCTACGCAATAACCATTTTATCTTCGGGGCCGATTGATGCGTAGCACAAATGCCTTCACGGACTTCTCCGATAGCCTCTCTTGCTTGATCAGATCCCAAGCACTTAAGCAACAAATCTTCGGCGGTTCTCCGATAAAGCTCATCATTATGCAACGCATACTTGAAAGCACTCCACCGAACACTTTTATCAATTTTAGCACTTGGATCACGTAAATATCTCAGCAAGGGAGTTCTCCAATCTTCTAAATCGGCCCCAACATCACTGGAAGTTATCTCGGGCCAATTTGGGAGCTTCTCGGGCGAATTGACCAGGATGGCTATAGGGGAGTTGACTGAGCTGACTAGAGCAGTCTGCTTAGCTAACTTGAGGAGCGGGCCTGGCTGACTAGAGTAGTCGGCTTGGCTGACTGGGCTGCAGCAGAGGGGGAATCGGCTGAGCCGACTGGTCTGCACCTACACGGAAAAAATTCAAATTTTCAAGCATCGGCTGTTCTTGAATATGAAAATTACGCCCACCGACGTCATAGCTAGATCCTTGTTGAGCTAACATGTTAGCCTTTTGATTTTCATGCCTCGGAATATGCCAAATTCAGAATTCGACAAAATAGTCAATAATATCAAGGCAAGCAACTTGTTGTACCACTAGCAAAGAATCACCATAGGCTTCAACAAGTTTTACCTCCATGGAACGCAACATAATCAACCTGAAAGAGAGAGCTTTATATTTGGATTGATTGTTGGTACAACAGAAATCTAATTGGCTTGGCATCCCAATTTCAGCACCTTGGCCATCTTTACAAACCGATCCATCAAAGTAAAGTTTTCATGGAGTAAAAGTAAGGTAATTGACTTGATCATCTAAATCAATACCATGCTCAACAATAAAATCAGCAAGAACTTGACCTTTCAATATTTCAATGGTTCAAAAGTCAAGTCATATTCAATTAGTGCATATGCCCATTTGCCTATCCTTCCATGAAGAATTGGCTGATATAACATGTGCTTTATCACATTGGCCTGGCAAGCAACAACACATGTACTAGACAAAAGATAATGTCTTATCTTAGCACAAGCATAGTACAGTGATAAGCATAACTTCTCTATATGGGCATACCTTGTCTCAGGATGAAGAAGATGGCGACCAAGATAAGCAATCGCATATTCTTTACCTCCGTCTTCTTGAGTCAAAACAACCCCAATTATCTTTTCTTCAGCAGTGATATATAATTCGAAAGGAACTCCCCTTCTAGGTGCACAAAGAACCGGTGGTGTTGACAAATATTCCTTTATCTTCTTAAATGCCTCTTGTTGCTTTGCCCCCAAGTGAATTCAGATTCATCCTTCAACTTTAATATGGGGGTAAAAGGAATAATTTTCTGGGACAAGTTAGCAATAAACCTTCTCAAGTAGTTCATCTTTCCCAGGAACTTTTGCATTTCCTTCTTGCATGTAGGCGGCTGAACTTTCTTGATCTTCTCTATCCTCTTGGGATCAACCTCTATGCCTTTATCATGAATAATGAAGCCCAAAAACTTCCCAGCCGATACTCCAAAAGAACATTTGAGTGGGTTCATCTTCAAACCATAGTGGCGCATCCTCTCAAAAGCAAGACATAAATCGACCAAGTGAGATGCATGGGCAGCCGATTTAATCACAATATCATCAATATATACTTCCATAATCACCCCAATTAGATCATGGAAAATCAAATTCATAGCTCTCTAATAAGTAGCACCTACATTCTTCAACCCAAATGTCATCACAACCCACTCAAAGAGACCAACAAACCCAGGACATATATGAAGGCCATCTTAGACATATCTTCTTCGGCCATGAAAATTTGATTATAACCGTCACTACCATCAAGAAAACGAATAACCCGGTGTCCTGAAGCATCATTGATAAGCATATCAGCTATAGGCATGGGATATTCATCTTTCGGAGTAGCTCTATTTAGATCTCTAAAATCAATACAGACTCTGATCTTCCTAGAATCCTTCTTCTCAACAGGCACAATATTAGAGACCCACTCCACATACCTGCATGGCTGAATAAACTCCACTTGCAATAATCGATTAATCTCCTCTTTAATCCGGTCATAGATTGTACAATTAAAGCGATGGGGGTGTTGTTTGAAAGGCCTGAATCCATTCTTAATGGGGAGCCGATGTTCAACAAGCTCTCAGCTCAATCTAGGCATCTCTCTATAACTACATGCAAAACAATCAACATATTCCTTGAGAAGCGCGATTAACTCAACTTTGTAATCGACTTCCAAGTTTTGATTTATAAACGTTGGCCGGGGCATAGAGCCATCCCCAATATCAACTTGTTCCAAAGGGTTAGCCGACGTAAAACCTTGGCCCAACTTATCGAGCTCATCAAAATCATCAATAGCTTCACAGGTGACAAGATCCTAACATATAGGTATGTTAAGCCCCGGGTCCAATGGTTCCCGAATGAAGAAGACCCCCCGGCCGACCCCTCCAGGATCGCCTGGGGGCTCGGGGGCTATACCCATCGGGTACGCTCACGTGCACCCTCTAAGAAGAAACCTGGCCGAGCCTGACTCCACCGCCACCTCTACTTGGGGCTTAGGGGTTTCGCTAAGCCCTGAGGCTCCCGATCTACGACAACACTCTAGTCCGGCTCTTGGCTCCTGCCCGGCTAACAACGCCAGCCAAGGCCTAGGCACAAGAAGACAAGCCTTGAGCTACCGATGCTCGGTGGCTCCCCCAGCGTTGCCCCTTGGGCATGGTATTGCCGGCCACTTTCCTGACAAGGTCACGCACGGGGCGTGACACAAGAAGACAAAGCTTCTCCGCCATGGTCCACAGCGCATTGCTGCAAGGCCCTCCTAGACTCTAGCGCATGTAGACCATAGACTCACCCCCCATACCACCATGTACCCAATCTATCTCGTTATATAAGGGATAAGGTTGGACCTAGGAGGGGAGGAGGCAACTCAGATCATCAGAACACATTCCTTTCCATCCTTTGGCCTCTGCTCAGCATCGAGAGCAAGGCAACCCACGGAGGGGCACTGAGAGACCGCTTCTGATTCTACCTCCCAGACCTGCCTTTTGGGATCCAGAACGTGGCGGCGTCCGTCCAGTTGGAGCTAGAGCACCTCATCAGTGGCGAGGCGCCGCGCAGCGCCATCCTCTCCGGCGTGGCAGGGACTGACGTCCCCTCGCAACTGTATGAGTGGAAGCGCTAGCACTAGGTTGACTAGCCTTATCGGTTTCAGACGTCGAAGGGGCCGATTGAAATTGGCTAGTAGCTGTATGAGAGATTTGATTTTGATAAAAATTTAAAGGCATACCAAACTGAGGTTGTTGCACGACACCCGATTGATCACAATCGGTTGTCTTTCCCTCCAACTTATCCATACGTGCTTGAAGTAAATTAGAAAGACGCTGAAGATTATTGTGATGCAATTTTCTCTCACTATCAACATCTGAGCAAAATTGGCATGGCTAGGATAAGAATCGGTATTTACCTCTTCATCATACAAAGCTTTTCCGTCACCTTTCTCCCCGGTGCCTGAAGATGTAGAAGCGGTAACGTCGCTGTAGGCAGGTTCATGGAATTGGGTAACCTTGTCATGCCGATTCTTGGTGCAGCTCTCCAAGAAAGCCTTGACATCGGCATCGAGCTTGGCTTGTAGCTTCTGACGTAACTCATCTGGAAGATCATCCATGGATTTAGGAAACACCATGTTAGCCTCATTGAAGGGGTTTGTCTTGTCCCCCTTGTCCGTGGCAGCACCATCGTTGCTTCCCATATTGCTAGTAGATTGAATCTTGGATCACTTCGCTTTCCCCAGCGGAGTCACCAAAAAGTATGTTGGCGTTGAAGATGACCTCAAGCCAACACACCAGCAAGGGCCTTGGACGCCCAAAGAGGTTGCACACAACTTGCAATGTAGCAAGAACACAACGTAATCGACCGAACCGATATACAGACCGATAAGGCCGATGTAGAGCCCGTTCTTGGCTGAAAAAGCTCCCGAACTTCTCCCGGGAAGACCCGTTGGGGAGGAGCACGTGGAGGATCTCATAGGACCAGCAAGGCCGCCTAGGATGCCACTGAATCTCGCCGGGAAACTCAACAAATAGCAGGAGGGGTTGAGAGAGGAGTGAAGGGGCAAAAGGAGTTGATAGATTGGTTTTTTTGACGATTGGATAGATGGGAACTCAATCGACCGTGAACCTCTCGTATTTATAGAAGGGGTGGTCTTATCCTAGTAGGAAACAAGTCCAAATCGTAATCTTCAAGTTTCTCACATAAAAAATTACCTAAAACCAACTTATAGTCTTAACCTAGTCGGTTTCTAGAGTCGAGTCGGCTTAGCCGACAGGGGAAGTCAGCTAAGCCAACTTTCTCGGGCTTGGTCAGCCTGCTCGGGCTGGATTAGGGGCCAGTCAGCTTAGTAGACTCGGGCACCCGGCTAAGCCGACTTGGGGGGGGGGGAGCTGGGCAACTTAGCCGACTGGCTAGGCTCGCCGGCGGCTCGCCGTCTTCTTCACGCGTTTCATTTAGTATCATGCTGCACCGTTTGACCTCCAACATGTCCATGATGTTTATAATTTGTTCATGGTGCCCAAAACCACCTTGGGACATTATTAAGTGTCAACACGTTGCTTCATCACTGGATCCACCATTGGGTAGGGCTGTGACCTCGCTGCAATGGAGGCCGCAGTATAGCATTCCTGGATCACTCTTCGGGCTCTCACTACCGGACTCCTTGAGTTTGCCGAGTGCCCGAAACACTCGGCAAAAAACATAAAACACTCGGCAAATGGTTCGCCGAGTGTAACACTCGGCGAACAGCACTCGCCAAAACAGTGACGGCAAAGCCAACTTTGCCGACGCGATTCGAACCCAAGACCTCCCGCTGTGCACGTACCTGCTCTACCACTACACCACACTCTCACTTGTGTCTGGATTCCGTTTTAGTTCCCAATATATTATACTAAACCGAGTGTAAATTGCATGTTTGAGGCCCTAAACGAACTCAAATAAAAAAAGTTGTAAACTATAAAGTTTCATAACTTTTCGAGATCTACACTTTTAGTTTAGGAAGTTTTTCCATTCGAGGTCGTTTACAAAATTTGAATTTTAAAATTTTGAAATTCAAACGCAGTTTTGCATGACAAGATGTTTTCGAATCAAAAAGTTGTTAACTACAAAGTTTCATAACTTTTCGAGATCTACACTTTTAGTTTAGGAAGTTTTTCCATCTGAGATCGTTTACCAAATTTGAATTTTAAAATTTTGAAATTCAAACACAGTTTTGCATGACAAGATGTTTTCAAATCAAAAAGTTGTCAACTACAATGTTTCATAACTTTTCGAGATCTACAAAGTTTATTTTGGTTGTTTTTTCATCCGAGGTCGTTTGAAAAGTTTGAATTTTAAAATTTTGAAATTCAAACGCAGTTTTGCATGACAAGATGTTTTCAAATCAAAAAGTTGCCAATTACAAAGTTTCATAACTTTTCGAGATCTACAAAGTTTATTTTAGTTGTTTGATCATCTATTCATCCGACATGGTCGTTCTAACATTGTTCACAAATCTTATATATCTCTCTTATAGTTTCATAAACTACAAGAGATATGTTAGATTTGTGAACAAATTTATTTTCACTTTGTCGTAAGAAGAAAAGACCAAAACAAACATTGTACATCTTGATGAGTTATACAACTTTGTAGCTGAAAACTTTTTCATTTGAATTAATTTACTGCTTTAAAATGTGCTTTGAAATTTTCTTTGCCGAGTGTCAAAAAAAAACACTTGGTAAAGAAGCTCTTTGCCGAGTATCAAAAAAAACGCTCGGCAAAGAGTCTCTTTGCCGAGTGTTAAAAAAAACACTTGACAAAGACGTCTTTGCCGAGTGCCCGAAAAACAACACTCGGCAAACCAACTGGCACTCGGCAAAGAGCCGGTCTCTGGTAGTGTCTGCAGGTGCTAGTTGCCACAGGTCAACAAGAGAACACACGCACACGAACGCTTGGGACACGATAGAAGTATGGTGTGGCAGCACCTAAATTTTCTGATTCTGTTCACTTAAGTATACTACACTGAACAGAATTACAACATAAAATAATGGTCTTGGTAGACCTCCATGCACACCAACCCTCCTTGACTTGCGCCTGCCGTCTCAAACGCCAAAATTGTGGAACAAAGTGCTTGTCAGAGCCACGGCTGCACTCCACCGAGACTTGACAGAGTTGTGTGCAGACTAGATACCTATAAGTCTAAGAAAATAAAACTAGACACCTATAACAAACTAACCGAATTGAACTAACATGTTTAGAGTTTATATCAACAGGATATTCCTGCTTTGATTGACACGGTGATGAAGAGTCCTGTTACTGCTTCGCTCGGCCCCATGGCTACTCTTCTCCGTAAAGTTGGTTCCCTCAAGTTCATGGCTCCATGCCCAAGTGATGACGATATCAAACATTTCAAGGAACATTTTGAGGTGTTATGCAGTGATCTGTTGGAGCCAGAGGAAACTAGCTCCATGCCCAAGTGGTGGAGGAAGGAGGTTCGTGAGCTCCTTTATGATACAGAGGACCGATTGGACAAGGTAATCCTCTTGCCTGGTGGTGATTTCTCAGAGTTAATCGCTGGTGTGGAGGATGCATATGAAAGACGCAAACGTTTGAAGCTAGCTCTTAATGATAAGACCATAAAACCTGACCTCGGTGAAGCCAGCTGCCTCACACCTGATGAATGGACATCCCACAAGCTGTCGATGCCCATCTCCGCTGGCAGCAGTTGTATAGTTGGAGTCGACGAGCTCATGAACAAGCTCATCAAGCAGCTGGCTTTTGATGACCATAACCAAAAAGGGCTCAAGGTGGTCCCAATCCTTGGATTCCCAGGTAAAATCTACGTCAACTCGAATTTAGTATGTTTCTTTATTTTAGTTTGTCCTGTTTGCCCTTTCGTTAATTGGTTGGATTTGCAGGTGTTGGAAAGACAACAGCAGCTGGAACCTTGTATCACGAGCACAGAGGGAAATTCCAGTGTTCAGCTTTTGTACGTGTTTCTCGAACTCCAGATATGAGGAGTCTCCTCATCAGCATTCTGTTACAAGTTAAGGCACCGTGGCTCTGGGCCTTTCCTGATGCCCACGACCTTATCGATGGCATTAAGAAGCATCTGGAAGGCAAAAGGTATGTTTATCAATTACATAAACAAATAAATGATCTGTTGTCGATTACTTTTTACACTAGGGAAAAACCCCGCGCGTAGAAGGTTTTTATTTGAATGGTAGAAAGGAAAGCCAAAGAAATAGTAGAGTCCAAATTAAGATATATTCTGTAGCTATATGGAAGTACTGTTTTGTTGTGAACCGGTGACAATCAGGCCAAAAGAAATTGATTTGCTTCCTTGTGTAACCTGCACACACACTGACACAGAGAGGGAGGAGAGGGACAATGTCCTTGATTCAGGTCAGGATGGACAACTAAGAGAAATTTACCTGAACTGGCTTCATCAATGGGTAAGCGAGAATTGCAAAAACTTCATGGATTCAGGGGGGTCCAGCCATGAATGACAATTGTGTGTGTAGTGTGACGTTGATTTTGGGTTGGCCTCCATCCACACCTAGATCGACTCAGTCATATCATATGAACAGCATGAACATGTGCATCGATTTCCATTAGAGAGTAGGGAGGAGGTTTTTGCCAACCAAGATTAGAGTCCCCAATATTCGATGGCAGAGGCGTATCATCATGTAGCCTAAGGAGCAAGGGAAGATGAGGGGAAGCAAGGGCCTTGCCTCTTTGCTTTATACTCCCTCCGGGCAGGTTTTTTACGCGTTGCAAGCCAAAACCCGGATACCAAGAAAGTAGTAAATGCCGAAATGCGCTCGTCGCTCCACACCATCTCCCTTGTGTCTATGCTTTTCATGCACGCATGCATGCATCCAGCAGACGTTTCATCGCCCATGCTTTTGTGAAAGCAAAGCAGTTTGTGAGTGCGATTTAAATTGGAGGAGAGATAATGCCATTAATTAATGGCAGCCTTTTGATTGCACATGGTGGAGGCAGTTTCTATGATACGCATGAAGCAAAGAGGTTCAGAAGCAGTCCCAGAAACTATACTATTAATTTCTATAGACACTACATATAGAAACCATGGTCTCAATGGATAGTTTCTACAGAATAATTTTTTATCCAATCACATATATTCTGTCTCCAATCTCTACCAATCACAACCCTTCATGTCTTGGTTCTCGTGTAGACATGATTTCTAACTTAGACCCGATTTATATGATTTTTGCTCTCTCTTCAATAACTACCTTGCCACATCAGCAAAACGCTTAGGTGATTTTACAATTAATATCCATAAAAACTATGATGGTTTCTGCATTGGGAGTGCCCTCATGCGCTCTGTGGGAGAATAAACGGAAGAGAGACAAGGGCAGTCTCAATGCTCTCTTCCGTTTATTAGGGGCTGTTTTATAATTGACGAAAGAAAATGAGATTTATATATTTTACTAGGGGCTGTTTTATAATTGATTAAAAAATGAAATGAGAAAATGAAGGACAACAATTTATACATGCTCTATTGTTTATGCATTTTTGGTATATAGCATCGGAATTCATGGAATTAAGTCAAACAAAAATTTTCTATCAAAAATGATTTTTCGGTCATAAGGACAAGTACAGTAATGGTGTCATCTACTACTGCTTATCCTTGGTCATATTAATTGTTTAAATGTAATTGACCCAAACTTTTAACAGATTTTAACGTCTTACTTAATATATACGTACAGGTACTTCATAATATTGGATGGTCTATGGACCGCATCAGTATGGGATATTATCAGCCGTGCTTTCCCCGATGGTAATTATGGCAGCAGAATAGTAACAACCACACAAATTAATGATGTAGCATTGTCATGCTGTGGATACTACCCAGATTATATTGAGATGAGTCCTCTTAATGATGATCAATCAAGAAGATTATTCTTCACTATGGTATTTGGCTCTGAAGATTATTACCCTTCAGATTTCAAAGAAGTTTCATATAAGATTATTAAGAAATGTGCTGGCTTACCATTAGCAATTGTAAATGTAGCCAGTCTGTTACGAAGGGAATCAAACCTCGCTGTGGAGAAATGGGAACACATACAAGATTCTTTGCCTTCCATTTTGTGGACAAATTCTACTACTAACGAAGCGATGAGTGACCTTTCCTCTGATACTGTTATTGGATCTGAAGGTAGCCAGTTAGCAAGAGGAACTAAGATTGAGAAATGGAAACACACAGAGGATTATTCTTTTTGCTCCACTTTCGAAGGGTTGAAACAAATTCTAGGGTTTGTCTACAATAATCTTCCGCCTCATTTGAAGACAAGCTTGTTATATCTCAGTATGTATCCCGAGGGTTATGTGGTCTGGAAGCATGATTTAGTGAGACAATGGGTCGCTGAAGGCTTTATGAATGCCGTGGGAGGGCGAAGCGCAGAGGAAATTGCTGGGGATTATTTTGATGAGCTTGTCAATAGTGGAATCGTCCAACCTGTGGACACCAAGTATGACAGCGAGGTATTGTCATGTACAGTTCATCACATGGTACTTGATCTTATTAGGCACGAATCCAAGGAGATGAACTTCATCATTACTGTGGACCATTTGCAGTCATGGCTAGCACATCCTGACCAAGTTCGTCGATTGTCCATCCAGTTCGGAGGTGCAAAAAGTGCAGACATACCAGAAAACATCATGATATCGAAACTTCGATCACTTCTGTTTTGTGGTTTCTTTGACTGTGTACCTTCAGTCGTTGATTATGAGTTTCTACGAGTTCTTATTCTTGATATTTGGGGCAATGGAGACGAGATGAAGTTGGACCTCACAGGAATTTGTGAGCTGCTTGGACTTAGATATTTGAAGATCCAATGTAATGTCATGGTGAATCTGCCATATGAGATAAGCAGGCTAAAATACTTGGAGACACTAGAAGTGGATGCAAGATTATCTGCCGTTCCATTTGACATTGGTCGTTTGGAGAAGTTATTGCACCTTCTCCTTCCGAGTGAGGCTATTCTGCCACCAGGGTATGGCAGCCTCCAAGATCTCAGCAAGAACTCATCACGAAATGTGATTGATCTTGCCGAGCTGACCAACCTCCAAGATCTTCGTCTTGTGTGTTCTACTTCCACAATACTGTCTGACTCAATGATGAAACACCTTGCCTTGCTTCTGGGGATGTTAAATAACCTCAGATCTCTAGCTCTGCATGGTGATGCAGGAGCTTCTAGCCTGAGCATTTGTGATAATAGCTTGAGTAACGTCTCTCCTTCACCGGCCCTCCTTGAGAAACTCGAGTTGCGGCCACGGGTTTGCACCTTGTCAAGACTCCCTAAATGGATTGGGGAACTCAGCAGACTCGCCATCCTAAAGATTGAAGTTTTAAATCTGTCGATCGATGACATTGCTATCCTGGAAGGACTGGCATCACTCACTGCTCTCTCTCTCTGTGTACTGGCAGAGCATGTAGAATGGATCGTCTTTGAGAAAGGATTCCCAGCACTCAAGTACTTCAAGTTCGTTTGTACAGCACCATACATGTCCCTTTTGGAAGGAGCAATGCCCAATGTCCAAAAGCTCAAGATAGCCTTCAATGCGAACAGATTGCAGCCAGAATATGATCCGGGGATTTTTGGCTTCAAGCACATGACAAGCCTTACAGAGGTCACTGTAAAATTTGGAGGGGCCAATGCTGATGAGTCCAGCAAAGGGGACGCAGAACGTGTACTGAAGGACGCCTTTGGCAACAATCCAAGCAGCCCTATCTTGAACGTTCAGTGGGTGGATTGCATTTTTTAGTGGCTACAAAATCACAGATGGGAAAGATACAAAAACACAAGATGATAGCAGGTAGCCAGGTCCAGGTTGCTAGGAATACATGCGGCATTTCGCATTCAACGCAATGGGTGGTCGGTGAGGAAGGCTGTGCTCAAGGCTACAACATTGTATTTGTGTGGACCCGTGGCCGCTGTGTGTTTTATTGTAGTTTACTTGCTTTGATTTGAGTCGCTGAGATCAGTGTCATGAATTGTTGAATAAGCAACGACAAGTGCTGGTACTAGAATGCATGAGGTGTGTGGACGCTCGTTGTGGCTTGGTTTCATAGTAACCATGTGTTTAGTTTTGGGACAGAGTGTGATGTGATTGTTCTGTCCTTGATTATGTAGGATGGAATAGACCCAATTTAGGGCTCGTTCGGTTCCTCCGGAATGAGTCCCCGCAACTATTCTCAGTTGGAATGGTTCACTAAGCTGGAATGGTTCTTAGCTCCACTCCAGACTAACTGAACGGACCCTAATTCTTGTTTGGTTACTGGGATAGAACCGTTCTCTGTTTGACTGGAGGGACGAATGGGGATGAAATGATCTCATCACTTGTTTGAATGCGGGTAGCCTCTTAAGACTACTTGTATTTTCTGACCACTGTCAGGGTCGGTTTATATTGAGAAAAAGTAAGTGCATGCATGACCTGAGAGAATAGGAGGCCACGCCCTCCATTCAGGGACTAAGGAAAAAAGAAATTATGTCCTGTATACTTGATAGTGAGAGTATTTTAAAAAATAAATTAAAATTTCAATTATACTCATTAGTAATATTTTATATAGCTTCAATTGGTTCATATTGGTCATATTAAAAGAAATATAATTAATCATTAGTCATAGGCCTCCTTTAGAACAAAGAAAAAATAGATGAATTTCAGAGGATTGGAATCCAGAAAAAAATTCTTCGAAACCCTTTTGGAACAAAGGATTGGATTGTTGCAAATCCTGTGAAATTTTTGTGGAGTGACAGTTCATATAACTTTTAGAGGAATTCTACCAAAAAGTTGAATCTCATGGAAAGTTTTCTTTGTGTCACTCTCTCTGTGTCTCTCTCACAAATTCCTATGTTTTCCTACTCACCATCCAAACGTTTTATCTTGCAGTTTCCAATACTTTTTGCAATCCATAGGATTCAAGATGGTCATTCAATTTCTACATTTCTTCTATTTTTGTGTTTCTAGAATCCTACGTTCCAAAGAGACCCTTAGAGGTAGTCAAAATTGGTATTTCTGATACTGAGCGGGGGAGAGGGTTTTCCCTGAGGTGCTACGAGCCACAGCCACCACGCGCCCACTCTGGACCCGGCGGCCATAGCCTCTCGCCGGTGCTCGCTACGGGCCCTGCAGCCAGCACTGCTCCATGCAGATAATGACACCCTCCATCACCGCATCGCCCTTCGTCCCCATCACGCCTTCTCTCAGGCAGCAAAACTCACTTTTGCCCCCCTTCCTCTGCTTCAGCTCGCTCTCGCCATACCTGCTTCTCCCACTCTCACCTACCGCAGTTCCCGACGGCACCTGCACCGGCCACTACTCGTCGCCTCGCTACGCCTCTTGTTCCCATCTCACACTGCAAAGACTCAATGGGACAGGGGTGTAATGGCGAGCTACGCAACATTCAGGCTCCATGGTCTCGATACAGACCTGTCTTCGACTTTTTGGGGCTGTGCGGACCGACAAGAGGAACTAGGGAACCCGAGGTCGTGGACTCCCTCCAATACTAGAGCACCAGCTACGGGCCCCAGACGAGGTTAACGTACGTTCTGCATGGGGTATGAATGATGACGCTCACGAGCTTTGCTCCTGCTATCGACGCTGGTACGTGCTTTCAAACCTTTGTCCTCGAAAACTTCCACTACTCGATGGTTAGGCATCTTTGCTTCCCCCGTCGCTCTGTGGATCTCCCAGGACAATGGGCCTTCTCCGGCCTCCACCGAGTTCGTCGTCAGGGCCCTGACCCCTGAAACATCATTTCTATGCGCACCCTGAGACATCAATGGTGAACTCTGGCTCTGATTTGTTGTTCGCTGCTAGAGTTTCCTCTGTTTCTGTCAAAGACTACCTTTGTCGGATTGGAGTGTTCGCCCTAGATGGGGTCATCTTCTACTTCCATAGCGAAGAAGCCTCTGCCCGCGTGGGCTGTACGGTGGGCGGGTGGCGGCATCCCAATTCAAATTTTGAATCTGACACTGTTCCTAATTGGTTTTCAGCTTGCAATCAATGTTTCGGCAATTTGGATATCCTTGTTAGTACTTAGGATCAACTAGGAGTAGATCTAACGGGTGCGCCCTTTTCTATTTGAGATAGAACACATAGATCCGACCTAGAATATAAACTAGGGAGAGGAACCAGAGAGAGAGAGAGAGGTGCAGAGGTAGCTAACCATCGACGGGCTTGGCAGAGGAGGAAGCCATGGCGGTGTCGGTGACGCAGAGTGCCGGCGAAGGGGAGGCAGTGGCGTGCGGTGGCTGTGTGGACGTCAGACGTGGCGCAGAGGTAGCGGTGAATACAGTGGCAGCGCTTCCCGTCGCTGTCAGCGCCCCCTCTTAGATCGGTTTAGGGTTTGTTAGTGGGGATTGTGGTGGCACAGTGAACCTCGTACTCAGTGCCCCGACCCCTACCTCCTTTTATATGACGCTATGCGATGGGGGCCCACCAACCATGAATTGGTTGGGCGCCCCCGATCAGGGCGTGGAATCAAGGCCCGACTTGGTCGTTGGACCAAGCCGGAGGAGATCAACCTAACTTTCTCCCCCTTGATCTCAACTTATGACTTAAACTTAAAATACTTATCTCTTTTCCCATTCCATCACAGATTAGTGCATAGAGCATGCCTCATCACAACGGTTAGTACCATTAGATTAACAACTATAATACACCTCTCTGTTTTGAAACAGATTCTCAACTAGGCCCTTATTGTTCAGGGATCATAAGCTTTCCCATAAACCCATGCTGGCTAAGTGTTCTCTGAACACATTGGGCGGTAAGCCTTTGGTAAACAGATTTGCAAGCATTTTCTTTTTACTTATATGCTCGAGACTAGCATTTTCTTTTTACTTATATGCTCGAGACTAATAGAATGATCCTAGACTGTCTTTCACAACATAAAACTTTATGTCAATGTGTTTGGCAGCACCACTTGACTTATTGTTGTGAGCATAACATACTACTGGCTCATTGTCGTAGTATAACTTAAGTGGTCTATGAATGTCGTCGACCACTTTTAACCTGGGCATAAATTTCTTTAGCCAGTTCTCCTGCCCCGTGGCCTCATAACATACTACTGGCTCATTGTCGTAGACGATGCAGTGACGGTTTGCTTGGAGCTTTTCCATGATATAGCTCCCCCTACGAGAGTAAATACATACCGATGTGGATTTTTTATCATCTACATCTCCCGTAAAATCTGAATCTGAATACCCCTTTATATGTAGGGAATCGGATCTTCTATACGTTAGCATGAGTCCTTTTATGCATTGCAAATAACGCAAAGCTTTCTTCACCATTCTTTAGTGTTCTATTCCTGGATTACTCTGATATCTGCCAAGTATCCCGGTAACAAAAGCTAAGTCAATGCGTGTACATACTTGAGCATACTATAAGCTTCCAATAGCCAAAGCATATGGAACTGCTTTCATTCGATCGATCTTATATTGGTTCCTGGGACATTGAAATTCTTCAAAACTATCGCCCTTGACTATAGGAGCAGGTGAAGGCTTACACGCATGCATACTGTATTTCTTTAGAACCTTTTCTAAGTATGCCTTTAGCGATAATCCTAAAACCCCCCTTTCTTCTATCTCGGTGAATCTCTATTTCTAAAATAAATGAAGCTTCACCGAGATCTTTCATATCAAAATTTGAGGACAATAACTTTTTTGTCTCCAGTAGTAGATTAACATCACTACTAGCGAGTAAGATGTCATCCACATACAAGATTAGAAAAATGAATTTCCTATTCTTAAACTTTGTATAAATGCAATTGTCCTCCATATTCTCTTTAAACCTAAACTTCCTTATTGTTTCATCAAACTTTAAATACCACTGTCTAGAGGTTTGTTTTAATCCATAAATGGATTTCTTTAGGCGGCATCCCATACGTTCTCTTTCTTTCACAACAAAACCTTTTGGTTGTGCCATATAAACATTTTCATCTAAATTCCCATTAAAGAAAGCCATCTTTACATCCATCTGATGTAATTCTAAATCGTGGTGTGCCACTGATGCCATTATGATTCTAAAAGAATCTTTACATGAGACTGTAAAAAATATCTCATTGTAACATATTCTTTCTTTTTGCATGAAGCCTTTCATCACAAGCCGCACTTTAAATCTTTCCACATTCCCTTTGGAGCCATATTTAATTTTGTAGACCCATTTTCAGCCTACTGTCTTGGCTCCTTTAGGAATTTTTTCTAAATCCCAAACACCATTGGTGCTCATTGATCCCATTTCATCTTGCATGGCTTCAAGCCACTTCAACAAGTGAGCGTTTCTCATGGCTTCTTCAAATGAGGTGGGATCATCCTCCATTTTAAATTCTTCACATTCATAAACTTCGTAGTCATCAGGAATGGCTGGTTTTCTTGCCCTTTGAGACCTTCTGGAGGCCTCATTAGTTGGCACTTGTTCCATGTGGGGTTATTGATGCTCTTCCTCATGTGCGACAATGGGCTCTATAGGATCTAAAAGACAGGTTCCTCATGTTCATTAATTGTCTCCACGGGAGAATTAACAACAGGTGTTGTCACTACAGTGTCCGGCACTATTGGTGCAGTAGCAACAGGTAGCGAGAAAAATAGCTCCTGAACCATCGAAGTGGGCACGTATACTCGTTTCTCCTCAAGGTTAATTTCTTGCGCTACCATGCCCCCCTGACTATATCATCCTCCAAGAACACAGCGTATCTTGTTTATACAAACTTCGTATGTCTGTTAGGACAGTAGAAACGATAACCTTTTGACTTATCTGGATAGCTA